TAGAAGATAAGATTGCTATTAGTGACCAGGAAAAGAAAAATTGCTTTAAAATAGTAAGGAACCACAAGAAATCAATCCAGCAGCTGCTAGACAATGCAAAGAAGACTAACATAAGACTGATCGGAGTCAATGAAGAAACAGGAGAGAGTGCAGATGACATAAAAAAAACTGTTCACAGAAGTAATGACAGAAAACTTCCCAAGGAGGGGAAAAGAACTTGACATTCAGATAAGGGAGGCATATAGGACTCCAACTATCCTTGATTAAAAAAAAATCTACACATAGGCATATAATTGTTAAGATTCCAGAAACCCAACAGAAGAAAAAATTGTACAAGCAGTTAGAGAAAAGAAACAAATCACATAGAAAGGAAAGCCCATCAGAATCACAGCAGACTTCTCAATGAAAACCTTCAAGGCTAGAAGAGCTTGGGGAGATGTATTTCAAGCACTAAAGGAAAACAGCCTCCAACCCAGATTGATGTACCCTCCAAAACTATCTTTCAAAACTGATGGTGAAATAATATACTTTCATGACAAAGAGCACCTTAGGAACTTCATGAATACCAATCCATTACTCCAAAAAATTTTAATCAACATCCTAGGAAAAGACAACAAGGACCACCACCCTAGAAAAGTCAGCAGAATTAATCCATTGGGCATGACAAGAAATTAAACACAAAGAGGGAGAATCCAACAAAAAGAAAAAGTCATGACACTGATAAGTCAATATGTACCTGTACTGGCTATTTATCATCTTCTTAGGTCTACTTTTTAATTGGGTTGTCTATTAATGAGCTGTAAGAGTTGTATATATATTCTGATCTTAGGTTATATGTATTATAAATATGGTCTGTTTAAGGGCTACTTTTCATTTTCTTCATGATGTCATATAAAGTTCTAAATTTTGATGGAATCTCATTTATCAATTTCTTTCTTTTATACGTCATGTTTTGTGTATCCCAGGAAATTCTTGCCTACCCTAAATTAATGAACATTTTCCCTTATAATTTCTTCTTAAAATTTTATAGTTTTAGCCTTTCATATTTAAGTTCATAGATCCTTTCAAGTTATTTTTATGTATAGAAATAAAGGGTTGAAGTTAATTTTTTATATATGGATACCAGGTGTTCTAGTACCATTTGCTGAAAACACTAGCTTTTCTTCTGCTCTTGAATTGAGTTTATGTTCTATAAAATGTTAATGTTAAATAACCTTTCAAAACTCAGTGGACCATATATATCTGGTTCTATTTCTAGATTTTTTGTTTTATTCCATTGATCTATATGTCTTTCTTAATGCCAACACTACCTTGATTACTGTAGCTTTAGTGGAACTCTTAAAATTAGGTAATAAATGTCTTCCAACACTGTTTGTTTTGCTTTTTACTTTTCTAAGTCCTTTGTAGTCCTACATACCTTTTAAATTTCCAATTCATTTATAGCAAATATACATAAACCTGAATTTTTATATATATCTTGTGTTTTCTAATCCTGCTAAATTCCAATACAAGTTCTAGGAGCTCCTAGAGATTTCTTAGTATTTTCTCTGTAGATGTTCACTTCATCTACATATAAAGATCTTACTTGTACCTTGCCAATCATATACTAATTGTTTCTTTTTATTGCCAGACTATTTTGGTTTGGGCCTATGTTCCAAAGTTTAATGGACAGATGAAGAGTAGGCATATATGCCCTTGTTCCCCACCTTAGGGAGAAAGCATTGTATCTTTTCCATTCATATAAGACATTTTTGCTGGAAGTATGGAGTACATGGCTTATCTGTTGAGAAGGTGCTGTTCTACTTCTAGTCTCCTGATTGCTTTTACCATGAACAGCTGTAGAATTTAGTCCAATACTTCTTCTGCAACCACTGATAGGATCATATGGCTTTTTCCTTTCCTCTGTTAAAATGTTACTTATAGGAGTGGATCTTCCAATGCTGAACCCACATTGCAATCCCTATAATAAAACCACTTTCTATGTACTGCCAGATCTGACTTCTAATAGTTTGTTAAACAAATTTTTATCTATGTTCATACTTTTTTCTTCTATTATCTTCATCGAGTTTTAGTATTAGCACAATGCTGGTTTCCTAAAATGAGGGGAGAAATGTTCCTTTCATTTTCTGCTTTAAATGTTTGGTACAATTCATCAGTTAAAATGTATATGAGTCTGTTGTTGTCACATAGGTAGGTTTTCAAGCTAGGAATATTTTCTTTAATAGGTGCTATTCAAATTTTATATTTCCTCCAGAGTTAGTTTCATTAATTTTTCTTCCAAGGTACTTTCTTATAAGTTGTCAAATTTATTTCAAGAAAGATTTTTGCAATATGCTTTCTATATCCTTTTAAATTCTGTAAAATCTGTGGTAATGTAGTCTAAATCTTGATATGGTAATTTTTAAATGTGTAATTGATATTGGGTAAAGGAAGAAAAGGTCTAAAGGAGTAGGGGAAGTGGGAGGGATAGGGGAAAGGAAAGAAGGGAAAAATATGAGGAAAGAAAAAAATAGAAACAAAGTCTTGCAAATAGGGAAGGGTGAAGTGGGCGAAGGGAGGGCAAGGGAAGGGGAAAAAAAATAAGAACCAAGATATATTATGTAAAAGTACAAGACCCCAGTGATGAATGTAACTATTTTATACCTAAAATGTACAAATAAACTTAATGGAAACAACAACAACAACAACAAAATGATATACTATGAAAAAAATGAAAAGAAAATGTGATTTTTTTTAATAAAATGGAGTACTACTCACCCACAAAAAATGAGAAATTAGAGACATTTACAGCTAAATGGGTGCACATTGAGGCCATACTCTTAAGTAAAATAAATAGGACACACATGTGTAAATACCAAATAGTTTCTCTAGTGTGAGAAACTGAAAGTGTAAATAAGGACTAAATGGTGTAAATGGATAATGTGAAATCGGAAAAAAGGGACAAAGCGGAAGGGTATTGGGGGGGGTAGGGGAAAAGAAAGAAGGGAATGGAATTAATATGAGAAAATGAAAAAATGGAAATAAAATCTTTGAGAATAGGGAGGGACAGAGGGCTTGAAAGGAGGGCAGGGGAATGAGGAGAAAATATGAACCAAGAGAAAATATGTAAAGGTGCAAATTTCCAATGATGAATATCATTATATTATTTACCTAAAATGCATCAATGAAATTAATTTTTTTAAAAAAGCTCTTTAAAATGAAGTTATAAGCCCAGATTACATCTTTTGGGCAAAATAAAGACTAAGCACTAGGCTAATAAACCTATGGAAACAGTGAGGTAAACAATAGACTGAAAGTCATTAAAGATCTGACTCTTTATTTTCCCTCTTTTGGCTTTACCAAACAAGCTGCACAATTTGAATTAGGAATCTTAGAAATGTGGTTTTTTACAGCATTTTCTGGCCAGAAAATGATATTTCTAGAAAACATGAATATGGCTTTGACTATAGCAAAATATCAAATGATGACTTCGTTTTAAAAAGAAATTTAGTGTTTTATAATAAAGAGGGGGCAGGAACTTCTCTGTGAGCAAGAACTGCAAAGGGGATAATCTGAATTCTTCATTATGTGAGGCAAGTTCCAACTGAACTTTCAACTTTTTTATGTCATTATGTCTTTCAGGTATCTCTTATAACAAGCATATAATAGAATTATTTTTAAAATTCAAAATAAGTAATCCATTTTTCGCGTCATATCCACTGATATGTTGGATTTCTTTCGTGCTTCTTTTTACTGGGTTTTTGTTGTTGAATTGTTCTTACTCATTTGCTACTTGCCTATAAGTTTTAAAATTCTGTATTTTCTCTACGAAATTTATAATGTTTGTATTTGATATAACAATACCTGAAGTTAATGAATACAGTTATCCTCAATGCAAAGTGCTGTAGATGCTTTAAGTCAGATAATTTTCTCATTTCCCGGTGTTATCAGTTTCTAGTATTTTAATTCCATCATGCTGTTAAACTCACGTACATTTCTCTTATCATTGCTGTATCACAATCTAACTCTAGTGTATTTAGGATGTGGCCTCCTGTCTCTGACCCTGCTTGTATACAGTATTTTTCTTCGGGTCTTGATTCACAAAACTTGATATTTAACCCTTAGAATTTCACTTCTCTCCTTTTTTCTCTTCTCTCCCACCAGAATTTCTACAGATAAATATTTAAACTTCTCATTTTAGGCTCCATATATATAAATTTCCCTTTAAAATTTCAAGAATCTCGGGGCTGGGGATTTAGCTCAGTGGTTTTGCCGCCTGCTGCGCAAGCGCAAGGACCCGAGTACGATTCCCCGCACCAAAAAAAAAAAAAAATTCAAGAATCTCTTCATAGTAGCGTTTTGTTTCATTTATTCAAATAATAAATAAAAATTTTTCAAAATATAGGTCCCAGTAGACTGTTTCCTTTATGGAGTATTTCTTACAGGTATTATGTCAACATACACCAAATTCCACCACATAATGCTACAAATTTTGCTCTCAATAATTCTATGTTATAAGTAACATACAAGATGAAAAATAGCCTAGGCCATGTACTCAATTTTAAGATTTGTAGTGATTTTTTCTTAATTGCTAACTTTTATTAATTGCCAAACTTCTACCCTTTGTTATCATTTCCCTTCCACCTGAAGAACTTCATTCAGCATTTCATTTAAAAGAAGTCTAGTGATGGGCATGTACTTTATTTTCATTAAAAATGTCTTTACTCATAGTCTGTAGTTACCATGATAGCTGAGAAGGGTTACCCCACCAAGTTGGGAATAAGGCTACTATCTCTTGCTTTTACTGGAGAAAAGTCCTTAGATTCCCGGAGACCCACAAACACACACACACACACACACACACACACACCCCACGTGCACACACACATATTCCCTGCTCTCATCCTGTAGGCAGAGAAAGTTGAGTTTCTTGGAGCTCTTTTAGTATGTTCCTATTCAAAGCTTTCAATTTCAGACTGTTCTAGAGCCCAAGTTGGGTGTGTGTGAAACAATAAACATACCAGGGAGTTCACTGTTTGGTCATTACTGTTTCTGGTATTCCTACTTAGTTCTCTTTTTCTTATCCACTTTTCAGAACTTTACAGAGTCCTTTGAACTTGACATATGTATTTTGTGTAGAGGTTGTAGTTGTAAGGCTCAGGAGCTGTAGTGTGGAGTGTTATTACTTCATCTGGCCAGCTGTGAAGGTGATTTTAATACCAACAAGAGACAAGCATTACATCAAATTAAGGACCACCAACATTTTGAACAGTAGTAGCAAAGCAGAGCATAGTTTCTCACTTTAGCTGTGACAAGATATATAACTACAAACCATTTGAACTGAAGCTCTTACAGCTCACCCTGATGCTAAATGCAGCAGATTCTTCCAGATTATATAAAAAAAAGAAAAAATTAATTTTAGTAATATATTTGACTATATCTAAAAGGGCAACTTTAAATTATTTTCAAACAATATACAAGCATCTTTGTATACTATAAGGATTTATAAATGTTGAGCTTGATGTCTTATAAATCCTTTATACAAAATTTATTTTAATGTATATTACTTTCATTACCTTACATCAAGGCAGCCCATTAATAGAACTAAAGCTCTTGAAAATTAAGGAATAAATCTTACTTACCTTTCCTTATCATCCAGTAAGAAAATATCAAATATATATTTGTGAACTTGAATTTGAAATCAAAGCTAGCTCTCCTTAACTTTCCATGTTGTAAAATACTTACCCTAACTTTCTGTGCCTTAAAAGACCTACATTTTGCTTTTTTATTTTATACATAGCCTACCTCTGTACTGTTGTGTCAATCTGATAACTAATTTTGCTATGTCTTAGCTATGTTTTAGAAAACCTGTTTTTTAAAGTAAAATATCTTTGATATGACAGTGAAAGTAGTGGAATCAACGTGGAGTTTTAGCTATTCTTTATTCTGTTGTGTACTTGTCAGTAGAGAAAACCCAATAGCAGACTGGAGATTCTATGCTAAACATATGTATTTTAAAACTGGTGAGGAAAAGGTTGAACAGGGAAACCATTCTTACTTTGTTTAGTGAGTATTTCTGTAAAAATTTCTACAGAAAATTTCTGTAAAATGAATAATGCTAATTCATAATTTGAAGGTAGAAGAGTTTGAATATTTTACAAAAACTTACAGCAATATTTCTCAAGTATTCTTATAGTTGAATTGAATCTATATGTCCTTCAATATATGGGTAAATTACCTCTGTGTATTTACTTTTAATCTTTTATACAATAAAAATTTTAAATAAATAAATAGATTCCTAACAGAGGCCATTGTGTGTGTGTGTGTGTGTGTGTGTGTGTGTGTGAATCAGTCTGCAAAGAAACTTTGCTGTGTATATGTGAAAAACAAGAACCACAGTGTAGTTAGTATGATACATACATTCAATAGTAACTGAGTAACTGGCTAGATTTCAATTTCAGGCTGTGTGAAAAGTCCTGCTGGGAAACATAAATTTTCATGCAAATCTGAGAAAAGGCAATGATATGATATTTCGGTGAGATGTATTAAAAGTTTGGTTGAATGAACCATCATTTCTTAATGTTGCTGTCATCTGTTGAATGACAGAAGCATCATAATTTAAATAGGAAGACTCTCTGTGATACTTTGGAAAATTAAGCTTCTTGATATTTGAGTTTTAATTTAAAATACCAGTAGGGTATTGAGTTACTTGAGGAAAGAGTGAGCTTAGAGTATTTATAACCTGAATTATTATTCCACTTAACATAAAAAATGGTCAATTTCCAACATGTTGGACCTTGCTTATGAAAATAGAGGCTGTTCTATGTAAAATGAAATGATTTGAAATCATTTTCCCAATAATTTTCAGGACCCTTGTGGCCTCCTACCTATGATGTCAAGAATTTTCAGTACTGGAGCCCTTTTGCATCTCTTGAGTATGCAGAAAGTTGACTTTATTTCCATAAATTACATTTAAAGGAGTTATTTAAATTTCCTATAAGCTAATGTCTTATAAACACATTGCATAGACAAAAAATTATATTTTTGAGAGCACATAAGCACCTAAAAAATGCAATGTTGTATTTTTGTGTGCAATTTCAATGCTGTAAGATGTAGCGAAAGTTATTTAGCTAACTACCTTCTGGAAACTTGAAAATTTAGTATACTTTCTTTAAAATATAGACATTCACTCAAAGATTAAACACTGCCTATGACAGAAGGAAGAAAAAACGGAAACATTTTGGACACCTACTATATTTTAAGTGTTTATATATATTATATTGCTTTATCATTTGGCATCCCTATAAGATATTCTTCTTATTTTTCACGTAAGGAAGTTCAGACTAGAGGCCAGAGAGATAAGAAGTTGTAAGTGATGGATATCGAGGTTGAGATTTTTTCCCCCTCAGCAAATGCTTTTGCTCTTTTGTGGTCCTGAACAAGGATACATTTTACTTTTTATTCACTAATTTGTTTGTGGCTGCCACTCTGGTGTGTTTTATTATCTTCTACAAGATCAAGAAGTTGGCCAAATTAAGTGCAGACCCATCAAGGACTGCCCCCTCTAACCATTCTTCTTTACTATACTAGCCTTTTGCAAATAAAAAGAAAAATTTAGTTTTCTATTTTGAATTTTGTATATTAAAGTAGCTTCAACCATATCTAGCTGATAGCATCCAAGATTAATGTTTTCCTATAAAATGACTAGACAGAAAAACACTGTTAAACAGTTGTTGCCCCTATACATAGTAGTATTGTTAAGAGCAATAGAGGCAAAACAGTTAAAAGTCATCCTATAGCATTTTCCACTAAAAAAATAAACTATAGCAGTTGATTAGGAGGATGCATGTGGTTGTGTGCAGGTATGTATTTTATGGCTGCATGATGACAAGATGACAAAATCCCAAGAGTGTTAGATGTGAGTTGCTCCAATTATCTATGAACTGCTTTCTTCATCAATGAACTTGCTGCATCAATTTGAACTTGAATTTTTCTGTGCACTATGAAGTCACATGTTTCTCTCAACTGCGTTCTCAAGTTGTGTGATGGGCAGAGCCAGCAAAGCACAGTCCTACTATGGAATGTGTGTCTAATCTGCTGGGCATATTCGCCTCAGTATAGCATTCTCTGGAGGAAGAGCCCCACAATTAACTATCAACTTCTGGGTTGGTGGTTCAGAGGAGAAACAAAATCAACCACGTCTGCATCTACCAAAACTCCCAATGGAGACTTCGTATTTTGAAGACTTGAGAACAATGTTCTATCTTTCTGCTGTCGGTGTGGGAATTATATTTTCTCCCTCAAACCTATGATGGGATCACCAAAATAATTTAAAGAAAGAGGCACAAGAGAGATACTCAAGTTCTTGTTTATTGGACCAGGCAGTCAAAGAAGTGAATTCATAAAATTTTGACACTTTGTAAGTCATAACGGAAATTTAATTTGCCCAGGCACTGTATAGTCATAGTCACGGGTAGTCAATTTATGTTCTCATTTTTCTCTCATCAAAGTCTGTAAAATTTCACTACGGTGGCTGCAAGAGTAAATTGCCTGAGACTTCAAGGTATAAAATTATAATAGGTAGGACTTGTAAATCTGCTTTCTGGTTTTTTAAAATTTTACTCAGGATTGAACCTAGGGCCTTCGCACACTGAGTGATAGCCCCAGTACTTTTGGGGGTGGCATAAGGTGGGCTTGAGCCTGTGACCCTTCAGACTTAGCCTCCCAGCTGGGATTACAGCTGTGCATCACCACATATAACACGCACTCTTTCTATTGTAACATACTACCATTCTTTACTGGAGAATTCTCTTAATTTTCAAGTTAGCACTAGTAGGATATTTTCTGGTTTGTTTAATTTGTAATAATGTATAGGATGAAATAATTTTAAAATGTATTTGGTTAATCCTATTTAGTTTTCTGCTTATTGCTAATATTCCACAAAAGAATGGACAGTGTACAAACTGGTACATATCTTGTTTATTGTTCTTATTCTCATAGCTGGGATGTAATGAAGGCTCAACAAATATCTGTTAAAGAAAGATAACTCAAATATATTACATTCTGCATCCATAAATTTTTACACTAATTCCAAAGTAAAACTACAATGACCTCATTACATTCTGAGGAATAGCAAAGCTCATTTGCACTTAAACATCTATGGAATCATGATTGATACTTATGAACAAGTTTACTTAGAGTTTTTGTTTAGCTTCCTCCTTATTAATGATTTAAAAAGAATGGAATAAGAGCATATCATGGCATCCCATATCCATATCAGATATAGTTATTTGAACCAAGAAGGCTAAGTTAAAACAAATTTTGCATAAACCTGCTTATCAACAAATGCATGACATTCATTTCATACTGTTAATTGGTCTTTTATACTCAAAGAAGATGCATATATTTAAATCTATTTTGCTATACCTGCAACCTTTTTATGAATAATACTTAATTATGGAAATGGGAAGACCTTTTAAAGAAAAATGTATTCCCAAAGCTATATGTGTAATAAATTTCTTCTTTTGCTAAACTGCAACAAAATATGTAATAAATGAATGGACTGGGCATGCCACTAATATTTTCTGATTTTCTTCCCCTTTAAACACTATATTTAACAAGGGGAAGTCATAATGGAATTTCAAAAGAAAAACTCAAGTTTTATGAAATTCCTGCTTATTGTGGCTAATGTATGTGACCAACAACTTCTTAAAATTTTATGGTTGGGTTGTAATTATCTTTCAAGACACAACATCCAGGACAATTTGTCATTTCTTTACATTTATTTCCTTATGCACTCAACAACCACTAAGTGTCTCCCCCCGGCTTACCACTGGGAGGTGGCCCTGGCTAGCTTACTGCATTTTTCTGTAGCTTCTATGAGAAGATCAATTCTATTCAAATCATATATGCTTAGAGGACAGAAATAAAAGTAAACCACAATGGCAGAACAATTTACCTGATGCTTCCAGTCTCCCTTTGCTATAGGTGGTTTCGTAGTGTAAAGCCGTCTTTCAAAGATGTCTAAGTACCTACCTATAAGAGAATTCCTGTTGGGGAAAATATTCTGTCTTTTTGGGGAAAAAATCATTGGTAACAGTGAACTTGATGGAAAAAAATTATTATTTGCTGAATTTCCTTTAAATAAAAATATGTGTTAAAATTCATCTTTTAGAAATGTCTACCTTGCCATTCTCCAGTGAACCTAGATAATATTGAAATCCCCCCAAATCTCAGACAGCAAATCTTTCCAAGGTCTCAGGGGATTATTCCTAGTCATCACAATCACCAGATAATCACTGCTTTCACACTTTCACAAATTAGTTTTAACCTTTGTATTTTACTCTTTAGCTTCAGTCAGCCCCACTTGTTTGCCAGCAATTCCAGACTTGGGGTAAGCTTTGCAACTGTTGTCTTCAGTTACTAGGTCTGTCCACTGGGCTTCATTTTAGAACTGAAATTTGGGATCAAGTTCATATTCTGAGAAGAGCGTCAAATTCTGAAGAACATCTATGTTCTTGGGGTATTTTTTCATATCATCATTGAATCCAGTGACTCTTTAGCTTTAACATACAAGGAAGCTGTCTCACAGTTATTTATGATAAAATACATGTAATGGTAAGTATAAAATTTATAAAGCATAAAACTGAAGTTTAAGGTTGTAAATCATTACATGTTGGGTAAATTTTTCAAAACTATAAAGTTTTAATTTTGAGAATTAAGTCATCTTCTCTGACTTAGAATATAGAAAAAATTTAAAAGAGAGAAGGGGGAAACTTTATTCATACAAAAATTACAAACTTATATAGTATACAGTTATACCAACACCAAAAATAAGTTTCAAATTATTTTTGCTTTAGAAAATGATGAAAGTTAATTACTATATCCAATTTGATTTCTTCAACTTTCTCCAGAATCTAGGCATTATCATCAGAAGAGATTTTCCCTGACTAAAGAATTTTATATACCAATATTAACATGTTGGGTTTTTTTAATATATTGCCATTTGCATCTTAAAGATCCAGGAAGTTAATGATTACAACCATTTGTAATTTTAGACCAATTTAAAACAGTATAGGTAGCATATTATATAGTAAATGTTAGAGCAGAATATTCAAAACATAAAAAGTATAGAACAATAAAATGAAAATGTCCTTTTCTCCCTCACTCCCCCACAACCTGTCCCTCTTTCTCCAATCACATAAATAATTTTAGGAGAACTATAGCTATATTTTCAAAAGTTTGATTCTTAAATATTTTGAAATCTCATTTAAAATATTTCAATATATCAAATACAGGCTACTTAAATATATAAATTTTTGAACTATTAAACGTACTGTAAAAGTTCTTTAATAAATGCTTTCATTCAAGTCATGTTCCAATATTGATAATATCTTGGATTGTGTCTTATTTATTTTCCTTCCTGATATATTTTATGGCACTGTTTATCTTAAAATTTCCCATGAATTAACCATTAATAGGACATAACATTTTATTCCTCTATGAATATACTTACCTATTACACTTAGGATGAGATACATAAATATAATTAATGAGGTAATAATCACATCGAACAATTTGACAGGGCCGTAAAGTTTTCAAAAAGCTTTCAATACCTAAAATTGCCTCCAAGGCCCTGACAAATCCCTCTGCAATTGATTTGTAAAACATTTTTTTAAATTTCCACTTTTCTTCATAAAATCATACTCATTTAGGTTTTCTAACACCAACTATTCCCTTATCCATAACCACAGGCGCAAGTATTGTCAAACACAGAATGGAATCTTAGATTGCTGGTTTTAAATATGTGCAGTTGGTCTGCAGTCTGCTAATGGTAGTATTCAGTAAGGTGGGGTCAAGAGAAAGCAAAAGAGCTTTCTCTCCAGTGGCTTTACTCTGGGAGGCACAGAATGGCTTAACAGCTTTCTGACAGGGCACATTTATGAGAAGAGTATTTGAACTGCAGAAATAAAGAAAGCATTAAAAGACTCCTACATTGTAGCACAGCAATGATTAGAAAGGACTGTTTTTGAGCTTTGCAAACAGAAAGCAGAAACCAAGCAAGCTGTCTGCAGCCCTGAGCAAAATTTTTCCCACCCAAACTCTGCAAACCCAGCTGCTCCTGCAAACCCACAGGCTAGGAGAGGGAATGCAGCCACTCCAAAGTGGAGTTCCAGGCCCATAATTAGCAGTTTCTGTCACCTTCTAGTTGTTCCTCCTTCATGAATGAAATAGGCAGATGGCACCTCACAGTGGCTCTTGCAGAGAGGTAGAAGGTCAAGGGACACACTTGACCCAACCGGCGCAATAGAGATTATGACCCAAGTACCTGCACCTCCAAATGCCGGATTGCAGCCTCTGGAAGCATCTAGCCCATTGCTTTATGGCACTGTTGCTTCGATCAGCTGTGGAAATTAACATAAAATAACAGAGTAACCCAGTGAGTGCTGGACAGTATTGTAGGGCCTCCAATAAATGAAACCCTAGTGGCACATTGACCCCACAAAACCTGAGTGATAAAAGCAAGTAAATACCTTCTAATCCACCAGCGGGGGAGTGGCGGGGCCGCTGTCTGCCGCTCTCTTGTGTAACAGCACCAACGGCTCAGTCCCTCTGCCTGGCGCTGAAGCGTGGCTGCTGCGGCGTCTGGGCGGTCCTAGTGCCTGCTCCAGGTTAGCACAGGCTGCCCCTCCAGGAGTCGCCCGCTTCCTTCCCTGCTTCTTCTCCTGGAGGTTGTCACCGAAGGTTTTCGGAGATGAGAACCGGTTAAGCCTCAGGGCAGTGGAGTTTGTTTAGGGGGAAATGGTGAGTAGATAGTTTGCTAATGTCATCTAGTCTGCTGCTGAAAGAAAAGAGGGTAACCGATGATCACATCTGGTAAAGGGCTCCAGTGTTAAAGGCAGTTAGAAAGAAAACGAATTTACACATATACTACCTTTAATGAAATCCATTTATTTTGTTTTATTTTTCCCATATTTAATATGTTAAGGGGAAAAATAAAAGCAGGTGATTTTTTAATAGTCTAATATACTTTTTCTTACCATTTGCAAATATTGCTTGTTAAGGGCCTAACAAGTTTTTGTGCACCCATATAAAATGAAATAAAACTACATGCAAAAACTACATGGAGGTGGCTGGAATCTTACTCATCAAAAGAGGCAAAATGTACAAGTGTTACTTCATAGAAATACCATTCTGACCTTTCCTCTCTCTGTTCATCTCCCTCACTTTTTTCTTTATAGTACCTTTTCCCACATGACATTTATATATTTATATTTAGTTGTTGTCCAGCTCCCCACTGCACTATAATATCTATGGAAGAACCTGTTCTATTTACTTGGGTAGAGTAACTCTTGGAAGATTATCTAGCAGTACAGTTTCAGTAAATATTTGTGAAAGAAATGAACTGAAATGAGCTGAGAAATTAGCATATAAAATACAGGCACAGAAGTCAGTCTCTTAGCAGATTAAATTTAATTCAGTGTCCCTCTCTGAGTAAATACTTTCCTTAAGGACATGCTTGCTTTTAAGGAGCTTATAATTTAAATATGGCAAAAATATTACTAAATGGGTGTAATAAAATATGTTTATGTAAAATATTTGCCCATAAAAATGGAGGATATAAGTTAGGATTGCTGAATTTGCGAGGGGCTCCTCTTTGTTGAAGTTATGGGTATGGAATTGAGCTGAAGGATTACATCTGAAAATTCAATACTGATTTCTTTTTTTCCCACAGTACAGTTAGGGTGACAGTGGGCAGATTGACATATAAGGGACCAAAACATGAAAAGTTAACTCAGGGAGTTTTGTTAGCACACTATATGCAAGTAGTGAGATATGTGAAAAGAGGGGAAGTGGGAGCTATAGGACTTAGATGCAACTGGCCATTGGCAGGTAGCCAGTAGGAGAGTGTCCACGTTCACCAAGACATGGTTGTCTTCTGGAGCACCTAGTACATCAATGAAATACCAAGATACCAGTCAGTAACAAGTTACCAGTCAGAAACAAGTTATATCAGGGATGCTGAGGCTCAAGGATACATGAGAAAAAAAAAATCAAGACTAAGCATGGAAAACTCGAGACATTGTTGACTCACAGGAAAAGTAGAGACCCAAGAGATATAAGATCAGACAACCCAACAATGAAGGGGGCTGATGTTTTTCATGATCTAAGGATCTAGAAATTGATCCGCTGTTTGATATCAAGCTACATGCAGCTGGTCAAGCAGCTACAACTGTTTTGAGGGTAAATACTGCAAGGACAGGGAGCTACCCTGGTCACTAGAGAGGCAGGTTTGCCTCCATGAAAGATTGGTTGAGCGCAGAGAGCTGGGCTTTGCTTACCTATTGCATGTCTTTCTACTTCTTCCCAATTCAGCTTTTTTTTGGAAATGAAATTCTGGGTTTTTTTCAAAAGTTGATCAGCTCGCAAGGGTGCTAAGCACATTCCCAAGAGATGTTTGTAAGTACAAAACAATGGATAGACTGGACGGTAGCCAGGGAAGTGTCTGCCCTGGGTCTTCCATCGAGCACCTCTCTGTGGCCATTGATCTTTATGAATGCTGGAGAGTCTAACTGGGAATGATACAGTATGTGCAGGCTTTTTGGCCTCAGAAATTTGTTATTGTGCATGTTATCTGTGCAGTGAGGCTGAGCAGAAAAAGGAAAAGTAGGGCTACTATGACAGATCTCTGGGGAGAACTCCTTCTGACTTACAGACTGTGATCAAAAGGATCTCAGAGCTCTCCTAAGTGGGATTAGTGCTCTTAGTAAAAGAAGACTCAGAGAGCTCTGTTACCTTCTTTTTATCATCAAAGGACAGGGAAGATGTCCAGTTTGCAAACCAGAGAAGGGTCCTCCCCTCACCAGAACCGAAAGACGCTGGCACCCTGATCTCAGACTTTCAGGTCGGAATGTGAAAAGATGTTTTTATTGTTCCTAAGCCATCCAGTCTAAGGCACTTTGTTATAGAAGCTTGAACTCAGATAAACACTTCACAAATTTATAATGAATTTGGGCCCAGGAAAAGTTGACTGTGTAGGTGCCATTCCCCCTGTGTAGGTCCTGTTCTCTTGTAGGCACTTCTCCCCTGACTTGAGCAGACTTCTCTTTCAAGGAAATTCTGTATTACACTGTCTTCAGGTCCTGTACATTTTCCTAACTGACTCACCCCATCCTTTCTGCAGAGCACACTGATGTCCACACATGCTGAAGGTTAGAATCTAACCTCCTGCATGTCCATATTTTTCTAACCTCATTAGTTTACTTACATGTAAACCAAGATTCCTCAGTATAAATGCTCCAAACTTGTGTCAGATGTACACTCACTGTGGTTATATAATATAATGTTGTTTACACTGGTAAATGTGAGCTCAAGAGAGTATTTCTATGAAAAGTAGATACAATGCATCATACAAACTACATATAAGTAAGGCACTATAAGAAATTATGGCCAAATCAGGCATGAACAAAAAAAAATTCTAAACAATTAAAGGTAAATTTTATTAAAAATATAGGATTCTGTATTCAAATGACTCTGCAAGAATTTTGGTATTCTGGCTCTACTTAAAAAAAGTAAAACTAGATATCACACACCATTGATACATATCCATACTCAAAGGAAGGATTCATTCTCACTTTTAAAGATAGTCAAATAACATTTAAATATTTTTAATTCCAGCAATGTACTTAGGAAATACTTTAACATTAAAAATATAAGAAATATCTAGGAAATGTTATGATTTCTATATTATATAAAATTTTATTAAGTGGGATAACTAAATATGATAAAAATATATTATATACATGTATGAAAATACCACACTGAACTCAATATTTTGTAAGATTAATAGACACTAATAAAAATGTATTAAAAAATAAATGACCAACCTTGCATTCTGATCACATACCACCTCCCCTAAAACATGATCTGTGCTTTCTTTGGCTACCACCTTTGTAGCTTTTTTGCTCTGAATCAAATTAAACATTTCTAAGGTCATAGGATACAACCCTCCCAAGGCCTCTGCTGCACTATATATTACAGAAATTAAACAGTGGTAGAGAGGCCTTAATAAGGCAAGCAGAAGACAATAAATATGCACAGACAGGACAACTCCACATGTGAACTGCTCATCAGACTGAGAGGGGTTACACCCAGGGTGTCTATATTCTTAAAGGATGGAAGCCCACTCTACAGAGGGAATGGAAGCTTGATAATATCTCTGTTCTTTAAAACTATAGTCAAAAACAAGAAATAATCAAAGATAATCTGATTAGCTGTCATTAGCGCATTTTTCCCTATTCAACATGATAGCAAAACTCCAAAATTTATTACATTATCAGATTCAGGGTCAAGAATATATCAAGAATGAAAGATGAGGGAGAAAGAGTTATATTTATTACCAATAATTTGATAATTAGTCAAACCACTTTCTGAAACATGTCCTCACCCTTCTTTGACCAATATTGCTTGTAGCCTTCATAGTTTTCACAATTACACTGTTATTGCTAAAAAGTTGTGTAGTTAATACGTGTTATGGTTTGGGTCTGGATGTCCCCCCCAAAGCCTCATTCAGTCAGAGGTAGCTGAATCTGGAATGTATGATGCTGGGGTTAAGGGTGTGTGATTACTAAACCACTACACGTGAGTGAGTGAGTGAGTGGTTTAGCACCAATCTAATCCCAGTAGTCTGGATGGGATAAAAGAGGCAGAAAGACTCAGTGAGAGTCTCTTGTTACCTTTGCTACCTTGTGCATGCCATGTTGTTTCTCCTCTGTGATAATTGTCTCCCATCCACCTTGCCTTGGAGCCAGCCAATTATGGACTGAAACCTCTATGAGCTGTAAACCAAATAAACCTCTTTCCCTCTAACTTTGGGTGTCTGGTATTTGTCTCAGAAACAAGAGAAAAGTAACTAACTAAATAAGAATTTAGTACCAGAGAAGTGGGGTCATTGCTATGACATTACCTGGCCATGTAGCTCAAGAGCCTTTGGAACTGGCTTGTGTGAATGGGAAGAATTAAGAAAGATTCAAAAATGTTGGCTGAAGACATAGAGCTGCAATGCCTTAGGCTGTTCTCTATGAGAGATTCTGGTCAGAGCTCAGAAGAAAAGCCACCTGGGTTGGAATCCCACTTCTGGTACCAAATTTCTGTGCTAGTTACTTTTCTCTTGAAAGAGAGAAAACTTTTGAAAAGATTCTAGTTCACATTTCTACTGTGTAGTGGACATGGCACTCACAAAGTCAGGATAGCTAAAGAGCAGATGATTGTTAAAAGAATTCTCAGTGTTTACTTTGAGCTGCTGACTGTTTAAAATGGAGAAGCACTTTTAATTCATCTGCATTCAATCATCATCCCAGTTCTCTTGACACTAGAAATGTACTCTTGTGGTTTAAAGAGTTAATTCCTAGATGTTTTGGACATTAAGAGTGCCTTCATTGTGCACAGTGTATCTAGCAGGATGTGCCATCATTCCTGGTACCATTAAAATGTGATCATAAGGAACGACTTCATGGGAACACAAATTCATTTAGTGAAACTTACTTATGAAGTCCTTATTATATTTCAAGCATTGAATTAGATACAGGGGATACATGATGAACACAGTTATGGATGGTCTATTTTCATGGCATT